AGCACATGATTCTTTCAAGGCAGGAGGTTTCTCTCCAGAAAATCAGCATGGATACCACACAGAAGAATTTAGCATGGACACCGTACCGAAGAACATTTGACGGCATCATTTCAGTCTGTGGGGTACCAGAATGCCTCCGCCAGTTCCATCGTGTGTGTCCCATCTTCCAGTTTCGGTTATGCCCCACGTTGCTTTGTTCCATCTTGCCCTCTTTCCCAACTACGGACTTCTAACCCCAGAGGAGAGTGTTTGGTTTCAATGAGATGACTGCAGCCGATTCCTTCCGGATTACATCACCTCGACCACTTTGGCAACCTGAGTCACAATAGGATGCTTGGGATCCATCCAGGGCTGCTATAACTGTGCTCATGTCGTGCGCTGAACAGACACAGAGAGGCGCTGTGGACCACGTTTTGCTCACTGCTGGGGAAGACTGCAGGCTTTGGAAGGGAGAGAGAGAGCCATTAACAACTACCCCGAATCTTTGTTCCTCTTCTTTTCCAGCATTCAAACCAAAATAGTTCTAACTTGTAATAAGCATCCCTTTTAACCCAATTAAAATATTAACCACCTTCCCCTGCTGGTTTTCCCTGAGATTAAGCCAATTCCTGGAAGAAAGCCATCCCCTGGGCTGGGACATAGATGTCCAAGGAAATACCGTATAAGATGCCACCAAGGAAGACAGGCGGCCACTCCTGCAACCTCCTCTTACAAGAGCCCACACTCTTTGCAGCTAGTCCGAGTGGCATGTTGAGAAAAAGCTAGGGGGAGCATGTTGGTCTCGTGCATTTCTGTATTTATTTAGGATTTTGGAATGTGTGTGTGTGTGTGTGTGTGTGTGTGTTTTACAAAAGAACTGGGAGTGAGGGGCAAGGGGGGAGAGGAGGAGAAGCATACGGTGTGTGCCTAGCATGGGAGGGCTCATGTGTGACTAAGTTGCAGGCTTGAGGGTTGCTTGGGTTCATGTCTACTTGATATGTGCATTCGTGTCTGGAGTTGGCGCATGTGTGAGTGCGTGTGTCTGTAAAAGTGTTTGTGCATGTTCCACAAGACAGTATTTTAGATATACTGGGTAGGAGGAAGGGAGAGAGGCATTTATGCCTTCTTCCTCTTGAGGACCAGTTCCACTTTGGGCCAGTTTCTCAATTTTGGCCATTTTAAGGGGTTTAAGATACATATGATGATTGGGGAATGCTGGGAGTTGAAGTCCACATGTCTTAAAAGTAGCCAAGGCTGAGAAACACTAGGGAAAGATGAAAATCCCCCTCCCTCCCTCCAGCATCCCCTTCCCCAAAGCACTTTTCTAGGCTCCTTTTCAAATTATTATATTGTCAGATTTCATTTTTTTTAAAAAAAGAAGAGGGGGTGTAAGGGATGAGGAAACAGAACAAGCAACAATGGTAATGCATCACGGAGAAGGAAGACCTATATATATTTTTCCTGAATGCAGTCCAAATTTTAATTCAAGCACTTTGGGATCTTATTGCTTTCAGAGAGAGCCAAGCACAAGTTTTAAGCTTCTTTCCCCATGAAATCCATAGCCGGCTCCTGGGCACGCTTGCTTGGAAGTCAACCCCACAAAGGAATGCAAGACTGGATTTGTGCACAACAAGATGACAGCCTTAATTGTGTTATTTTGAAGCCTCCGTGGGATCTTTTTTGGGAATAGGTGGGTGGGTAAAGGGGTTGAATTCCTCCAGAGTATGGGATCTGGGATCTTGGCCACCCCAGCTGGCTGGCACACTTGGGTAGCAAGATCTAGAGGTCCTCACTAGAGACCTTCCCGGCTTGTCAAGAACTTGATTCATCTCTACATCAGAAGGATATGCAATTGAGTCCAACATCTTCAACTCCTCCCATAAAACAGCTTTCGGCGTAGAATGTCTCAACCTGCGCTAAGAGTTTTCGATCTGGGATTGATTCCCTCCTCGTCATACCGATCGGTTCCACATCTGGGTTTTAACACAGAAATTGCACTAACTTTACCACTTTTTTTTGTAACAAAACAAAACGAAGCAAAAACGCCACCATGGTTAAAAACTTCCCAGTTGTTCCACATTCTCAATAGCTTGTTATATTCCTTGTTTCTCCAGGAACTTGAAAACATTGGAGAGCTGTTCCTCTTCTGGGTTTTGCAAAGACACACCTGGGGTGGGGCAAAAAAGGGGCTTAATGATCCATGAATGAAAATAATGTTGGAACTTGATCCATGGTGTTGGTTGTGTCGGGCTGGGGAGACAGAGCAACCTTGGGAATGGTTAACTATCGTTAGTTCTACGTAGGTTGAGTGTCCAAGATCTGGAGAGCACCTAGGTTCACAAGTAAATGCTGGCCACGCTAAATGAACCTTGAAATTACCTGAAAATAGATTATGGGTGTGCAAAAGTGATTGCCAAGCACTTTTCTTTCATGAATTTCTAGCACTTGGCTGGGCAGTGACTATTTCCACCCGAATATCACCAAACGTTGGATATTTATAAGATTGTTCTATCAACACTTATTTGACCAGGGAGATTGGGATGCTCATTGCAGTTCCGACATTATGTGTGACTGGATTTGAAGCAAAAGTGCAGCTTGAATGCTTTTGACTATAAAGGTAGTCCTCGACTTGCAACCATGATCGGAACCAGAGTTTTGGCTGCTCATGATGTGGTTGTTAAGCAAACCACTATGTGATCGGACCCAAATGAGCTACCATTTCTAACTATGGTTGTTGAGCAAATCAGAAATCATTATGTGAATCACTCAGTCAGGACCTAGCTGGGAAGGTTAGGGTTAAAATTGCGATCGCCTGACTACAGGATGCTGTAACCATTGTAAACGTTGAGCCGGTTGCCAAGCAACCAAACCACAACCACAATCCTGGTGCAATTATTGCAGGGAGGATGTACAGGTAGTCCTTGACTTACAACAGTTCATTCAGTGACCGTCCAAAGTTACAACAGCACTGAAAAAAGCGATGTGCGGCCATTTTTCACATGACTGTTAATTTGAGGCCTTCAACTAGGCAGAGGCCTACACCAACTTTAAGGCCTAGTTGTCTTGTTCTCACAGTGGCTTGGCAACTGACTCATATTTATGACGGTGGCAATGTCCCTGGGGGTGGGCATGTGATCCCCTTTTTGTGACTTTCTGGCGAGCAGAGCCAATGGGGAAGCCCAATTCACTTAAGAACCCCGTTACTAAATTAACCAGAGAAGCCATTTGCTTAACAAAGGTGGCAAGAAAGGTGGTAAAACGGACCAAAATTCATTTAAGCACGGGCCTGTTTCTGATAGCAGAAACAGGCTCAATTATGGTCATAAGATGAGGAATGATTGTAACTTTTAAGAATGGGTCATGTCAGTTTTGTGACATGTCCCTTGTAACTTTAAACCAGGGGTCCCCAAACTTGGCAACTTTAAGACTTGTGGACTTCAATTCCCAGAATTCCTCCGCCAGCTATTGAAGTCCACAAGTCTTAAAGTTGCCAAGTTTGGAGACCTCTGCTTTAAAGCATCCGCTAAACGAATGGCTGTAAGCCAAGGACTACGTGTAAAAGCAAGGTGCGGCTCCAGAAGACCTCTTGACCTGGGAATCTGAACAGAACTGGTTCCATGCTGATCCAATTCTCCCCACCCCCCTGGCTGTTTAGCTCTGTCTCTAACCCATCCCACAAAATTGGAATGGTAGATTTTTGAGATGGAAGAATGGGGGCATCCCTGCACCCATCCTGCCGTTGACTTTTGAATCCACTCTCGACTTCGGCAGGTGGTGATGCATGTTCTTAACCACATTTGTCCCGTCTGCAATTTATGCAGGAGTACCAAACCCATCGCATCCGCAGCTGTAGTTATGTGGCCACGGCTGCCCCTCTCGCGCACCGTGGCTTTCCTGCCACCTTATTCTGCCACATGTGGGCCAGCCACGGCTTTACAGCACCTGCTCTTTCCTTTGTGTGATGCCTCCACGAGAGAGGCAGTACTTCAAAAGGGAAGACGACCATCCCGTATTCTCCACCCCACCCCCCCAATTCTGTGAAGCGATCACTGCCATACTGGCCTGTCTATATGTGCCTGTGTTTTTAACCGCCCATGTTTCCTTGTTGCCTCTGATGTGCTGCAGTTCTTTTTTTTTTTGGATATAAGTTGACTTCCCTTTTTTTCTGGGATTCTTGTACTAAATGGCTTAATTCAAACCAATTAACAAATAAAGGCAAACTGGCAAGCTTGGGTCTGTGGTCTCACTGTTTGCAAGATGTGAAACGGGACAAAAATTTATTTATACATCATATTTAAAAATGGCCAACAGGAACCGTTTGGTTCCTCATTTTAGTATTTGCAGTGAGAAATTCTTGGATCACACATCTGTTTAGGAGTTGAGCCATTTGATCTGAATACAGCAGAGATTAGTTGCTATTCTGGAGTAGGCATACTAGCCTGGAAGCTAAACTATGTTATCTTTCTAGCGAGTGCTAAGAAACTACTAGTTATAAAATCCTTGTGTGTCCAATCACACTTGGCTAATAAAGGACATTTCTATTTCTATTCTATTCCTATTCCTATTCTATTCTGTTCTATTCTATTCTTCTTCTTCTTCTTTTTCTTCAGCGTTTGTCTCGCGCTCGGGCGAGGTCCGCTAATGTCCTTGAGTACTGCTTCCACACCTCTCTGTCTGCCACGCGTGTCGGGTCTGCCTTCACGATCTCTAGATCGGCCTTGATCGTGTCCATCCAGCGTTGTTTAGGT